AGAGGAAGAAAAAGGTGATATATCATAATGCAGGATGCCATTTTTTGGCATAAGTTTAAAATAATCTATATTATCTGTTTGCCAGGCATATGGAGACTCATCATTCAAAGATTGCAAGCGAGCATCTGAAGAAGCGATAGCAATAGTTTTGAAAAATTTGCAGGTATTACGTAACATTTGTTAATTTGCACACTACCTTTCTTTGGGCCTTTGGTTAAATGTAAGTGATTCTATAATATAGGATCATGTGTTACTTTTTTCCTTTCTTCTATTGGAAACATTCTCCAGTTATATGAGCATCAGTCACAGCATTGAGATTGGTAATAATTCAAAATCACCACCCATTGAAATCTGTATTATTTTCAAATGGTCTTTTAACGTGGATGGGCATGTATGGAGCATGTTGATTTATGTTGTCCTCTTTTGATAACAGACCAAAATTTAGTGCATTAAAATAAATTGTAAAAAGGATCATTGCAGGATTATAGTCACTTGTTTAGAGGGTGTAAAACTACTATCTTGAAGGCAAAAACTGTTCCAATAAGCTAATTCACTAAAAGAGTCATAGAAATGTATTGGGGGTATATTAGTGGTTAGCAAATAAGTTTGTAAAAAGGAAGTGGTTAGAGATAGAGTTCTAGAGTAAAGTTAATACTTCGGATCAGGTTTTGAAGAAGTCGTCTTGTCTGGTTGGGCTGCAGTGTTGTATCTTGTGTAGGAGATTAGCTAAGGATCTTGAACATCTCCTGTGGAGTTGCAAGTTTGCTTGGTTGGTTTTGAGCCGCCGTTTCAAGTTGTTTGGGTTTAGTTTGGCTCAGCCTAGAGGGTGTAGTGTAGGCCTATGGTGGAGGAGTTTCTTCTTCACTCGCTTTTCACGATAAAGGTCATTTTTTGTGGCTTGTTACCTTTTGTGCTACCCTATGGGCCTTTCGGTTGAGAGAAACAATATAATTTTTAAAGAGGTGGAGAGACATTGGGAGGAGGTTTGATCCCGGTTAGATTTCATGTCTCCCTTTGGGCTTCATCGTGTAAGGACTTTTGTAATCACTCTTTAGGTCTTATTTTTCTTGATTGGAGCCCTTTTTTGTTCTAGTTTACCTCATTCTTGGGGGTTGATCTTTTTGTATTAAGTTTGGTTTCAATAAGAAAAAGATAAGATTTAGGGTAGAGGGTGTTAAACAATTGTTTACTTGTTTGGGCTTTGAGCTTGCACAAGAGGGTGATGTTCAAGTTGCTTGAATTTCTTGTTCTTCAAGTTTCAGTACTACCATTCCAATTCTCTAGTTTCTATCAAATTGGTAGCCATAAATCTGAATGTTTGAGATGCAAAGATTGTTGTTGAAAACAAAGATTATTGTGGAATCAATGTGCCCTTGATGTAGGTATAGGTGTTAATTTGTAGTTGTCTTGATTTTATTTTGTTTTGTTTGTAGGGTTAATCTATTTTTACCTCGGGGTAGTACTCATCAATTAATTTTTTTTCCTTATCTTGGATAGTAACCATTTTTAATCTATTTGTTTTTTTTAACAAGATACGAACATTCTTTTATTAATGAAAATGAACAAAATTGTTCAAAGATACAAACTCCGAAAGCGCAAAAATAAGAGAGATAAAATGGAGTCCTCTGAAAGTACAGAAACACCCCTAAGGGGGAGTCATAAATGCCTCCCAATTCGTACAAAGCATACTAGGAGAATAAGAGATAATAAATCGGAAAGAAAACACCATTGTGAGACTTTGAACTTGGCTATTGGCTTTGAATTTTTAATCTATTTGTATTGAATCTCGTTGAGAATCAATAAAATAACCCCTTTTGGCTTAGCTTTCCACCTGTCCTGCAAAAGCAGAGATGCAAAACTAGTTTGAAGGAATTCCAAAAATAAGTTGGGAACAGTAAGGTCCTAAAGATGAACAGAAGCTATGGACAGAAGAAACAAAAAGCAAAGCAACGATAAGTTGGGAACATCAAGGTCCTGGGTATTTGCTAGAACGACAAAAGAAAATTTGGTCAGGTGCTTTTCAGACATTTGTTTAGAAGGAAAGGGAAACTTTTATCGATGAATGCAGTAAAGGCAATATTATGTTGTCCGTGGATAGATAGAAACTCCCGGTTGTTCAATAATAGGTCAGGAGAATGAGATAAAGTCTTTGATTTGGCAAAATTTCACTATTTTTCATGACGTTCACTTTCAAAGTCATTTTCTAACTATTCTTCCTTGGTTAGTTAAATTGGGGTGTTTTATACTCTTGCGAGGAAATTCATATTTTTGTTTATAACTTCTCACTATATCATTTAAAGTTTTTGTTTCCTTGTAAAATCAGAACGATTGATAAAAATTTATCGAATCAAGAGGTTCTAATTGGACTGGTTTTGATTACAAACTATCAAGCAAGAGGTGTTGAGCCATGTTGACTTTAGAGTGGTTGAACAGATATCCAGTGCTGCCCCTTGATATCCCAAATTGTAACCTCACCAGGCAATTGGACTTGGATTCTCTCAACTACACAATTAAGCATTTTTTTTCTACTTTGATGAAATTTTATTTTTCCAGAAAAATTGAGTAGGGATCTCACTTGCAAGAATTTATATCCAGATTTGAGGATCACTCTTGCCACTATGTTCATTACAGTATCATGTCCTATATTGATTCTAATGTTGCTGAACATTTTGGAAGTGTTTGTACTGGTCAGAATAGTCTACCTATGATTGAGCGATGTGCTTTCAGGAAAAGCTGTTCTCAGATTCTGAATCCATACAGACAAGAGCAGAGGCTGCAGTACTTCTTAAGCAGCTAGATTTCCCGGTTTGCACTGCACCTTCTTTTTATAATTTCTTTTACTGCAGAATTATTGCCCTGTTAATCAAAAAATATTCTACGTAACATGCAAAGCTTTTAATGAATGGGAATTTTCTCAAGGACATATTTTGAAATATCAAAAGCTAATATCTTGTTCTTTTACACCTACTGTGGGCATCTTGTAGCAGTTGTAGCAAGCGAAGTATGTATAACATGTACAAAATTTAATACTTCTGATAGCTCAAGTACAATCAACAATTTTCTAAATATATCCAATAAGATGAAAGTCTGCCTATAAATTGACAGGTGGACAGCTTAAAGGTAAAGTTGCTTGAAAAGTTGGAACAATCAACAATGGATCTTCAGCTCAATGTTGAAGATTTGAGTAGTACGCTAGTCGATAGAAGTGGCTCTTCGAAAGAGGGAAATGTTTCTCAGTCTGTTTATGGTGCTTCACACGAGGTAAACCAACTTCTAGTTTTGGCAGGTAACTGTGGTATATTTCATTCTTTTGGAGCCATCCTTTGACCGACTGGATTGACCTGGATAAAGTTTCAGAAAACAGTAGTGAAAGATTTACCGTCTATTCAATTCAATAAATTTCTATATTTTGTTGCTCCTTTGGATCATTGGATACCTTACCATTTTTTGCTTTCATTTCTTTTTTTATTAAAATAGATAAATATTATAAAAAGATGAAATTAATAATAAGTAGAAAACATGAGTTGTATGCTTTGCCATCTAACACTGTAGAGCTATGGAGCTTTCATTTTGTTTTTGCATTGTGTCAGCACCTGATTATAACAAGCTTCTTTTTCTTTTATATGCAGTATGTACTTCGTTATTCATATCTATTGCTGACATTTCTTTCTTTCCAGAGTTTGAACGAAGTGCAATTCACTTTCGGATATAGTCAATGTCAACTGTAAGACTATTAATGAAATTTCTCTTCTTTTTTCTTCACTAGGCATCTGTTCGAGAGTTTGCAGAAGCAGTCCGAGCTTATCGTGTAATATTTGCAGATTCAGATAGGCAACTGATAAAACTTGTTCAGGATTTGATCACCAAGTACTCGAGCATCCTTGTTATTTGTTTTTTCGACATGTTAAAATATAAGTTTTATTTTTATTGGTTGATGTGCCTTGAACTTTAGCTGCACGGATCATTTTGGTCATGGGAGGATTTTTTTGTCACTTTTTTCATCTACAGGCATTTTGATGCCACCGAGCAATTTATCAAGAAACAGATTTATGCAGCAGATCTTCTTGGTGTTTTTGGTAAGTTATATGAGTTGGTGATTTTCACCGATCTCTATGATATTCTTGAAATTGTTAATCTTCAACTATCCATTTGTATAAATTTATTGATTTATTTTCTTTTCTGAAATGTTATTCTAGAAACATCATAGTTTGACTATTTGCATTCAAGCTTAATTATTTTTAGGAATTCATAAAATTTTTTCTCCATTAGATGGTGGCTTCAGTCTTTTACTTTTGTTGATATTCAGTACAATATTTGTTAGGTTTCTAGTTTCATTTAGTTTTGAAGTAGCCAGCCTCATTTTTTCATGGGAATCTTCCCCATTGAGAGGATTTCCATTATATAAAGGGTCTACCTTCAGAAGAAAAGTTTTTCTTCTGTTGTGTCACTGTGTTGCAGAAAATCTACCACCTTTGGGCTTTGGTCGTATTTGAACCGTTGGCATTTGACCTGTTTGGACACTAAACTATATCAAAATTTTGTGGAAAGTTTCTAATTGAGAATTCTTTAAACTATGTCTAATTTGTTGCAGGGATCATATGGACAAATGTGCTTTTACTAGGAGAAGTATTGAATGATGCTGGTCTGCCTGATTATTCCATGAAGGTCTTAGTTTGCATTATGTTTGCACTTGCAATAATTTTAACCCATTTTTCAATTTTAGTGCCTCTCCCTGTACAAAAATACTTGCACTTTCCCCAATTATTTATCACAAGAATAAATGAAATTCTTGTTTCTCCTTAAAAAATAATTTTAAAAAAAAAGGTAATTTGACTTTCAACTTTTTATATGTAATATTCAGGCTGCCCAGGTTGCTGTCAAACAGTACGTAACATGCACATTCTCTCGTCTCCTGCAAAACATCTCAGGTTATTCTACAAACAATCTTGTGCCCCTTAGTTCAGTTCAGATCTTCTACTCCCACTATCACCTTCCCCCAAGCCACTAAGCAGCGTATGAAAAAACGCAAAAGTTGATTGAGAATTAATGGTCCAATCTTAACACTTTGTACACTGCGGACATTTTAGTCAAAAAGGTTGAATGTTGTTGGCTTTGATTGACTTATTTTACATCATGCGCAGGAAACATGATATACAATCTTAAAGATTTGTGCAGGAAGCACAATTGTGTACTCTGGGCTCTAAAAGTTTGAGTTAAATTCTATTTTAATTGACAGATGCACTCACACAGGTTCACTCAAGGAAAGAGGAGGGCTTGCAAGAGTACTCGTTGCAGCTTGCACTGGAGGCCAGCAAGAAGGAAGTGCTTCAGGGCAGCATGGATGTTTTACTAGTAATATATGAAAACTGCTTGAACTCTGATTCGCTTTTCTTGAAGAAGTTATCGATGATCTTAATTATCATTTTTGAAGTACTAGTATGAATTTTGTTGGCATATTATCATATTACGAAAATTAAAACATTACTACTAATTGTATGAAAACTCCTTGGAACTTGGATTCTCTTTTCTTTCAGAAACTACCAATGATCTTATTTATCATTTTTGAAGTACTAAGCATGAATTTTGTTGGCATTACATGAAAACTAAAACACATCTATTAATTGAACTCATGTCCTGCATCTCTCTCATGTTGCCGGTTATTTATACAAAGTTTTTTTCCTATTAAATAGTAAAGGTCTTCGAGTTTATTGAATTTAATTTGGTCTTTTGATTGAGTTATTAATTGCATTGACTGTTCTTAATCATTATTCATTTGCTTAACCTTAGTAAATGATTAAGATTATTTATGCATCCTTTTGGTTTCCTTTTCTTTCCCCTCATTGCCTGTTTCTCTCATTTCAGGACTTCCGCCAGCTTCTTGAAGATCAGTCAGGGCTCATCATCAACCAGAGAAACTTGATTATCGATTGGGTTCAAGAAGGATTTCAGGAATTCTTCAGGGCACTTGTTGGTCGTTTCATGTTGCTATCAGGAAGAAATAATTCTTATAGTCAAGGTCAAGTTTTGACTGAGGCAACACAAGCTGAGAAAGTTGTTGCTGGGCTTGTCTTGGTGCTTGCTCAAATTTCAGTGTTTATTGAACAAATTGCCATCCCTAGAATCACTGAGGCAAGGCATCGTTGTAAAATTTTTGTATTCCTACTCTAGCAATTTGAAGTAGCCGGATAAGTTTTGAAGGTCTTTAAGCTCACTAAAGAATGAGACTTTATGATCTCATACAGCTGTTTTCTATACTTGCGCATTTCCTGTGGATTCTCATGCATATTTTCATGTTTGTCTTTTTGTTTCAGGAAATAACGGCTTCTTTTTCTGGCGGTGGTATTAGGGGTTATGAATATGGTCCTGCCTTTGTACCTTCAGAAATTTGCCGAATGTTTCGGTCTGCTGGTGAAAAGTTTCTACACCTTGTATGGCTCAAATTTCTGTCATTCCAATTATTATGCCAAGTAATATTTAATACTTGCATTGCATAATGTCTATGGCATTATTTCATTTGCCCTTTTCCATGTCAGAATCCCATGGATGTTAGATATTTGCCTCATCATTCTCTTTAAGCATGTTGCTATTTGTTTTTGCTTTGCATTCTAGCAAGTGTAGGGAGCGCAGGGTTCCCCCAAGACAGGAGCCCCTACGAGAGCTTCCTATTAGTAGTATTAGCACTTTGCAAAGCCAGTGTACTAATGTAATGTTTATCTTTTCTCAGATAGTAGGAGCATAACATCTTTTTGGGTTAATTTGCTAAAAAATCCTATTGGAATAAGTTTAGCTGCAATTTAAATTAAGTGCAACATACTGTTATTGCATTCACTTGGTGGATCACATTAATTTCCTGTTTCTGTCATCTCTCAGTATATAAACATGAGAAGTCAGAGGATATCAATCCTTTTAACTAAGAGGTTCAGGACACCGAATTGGGTGAAGGTGAGGTTTGGTAATTGTGTCCTTGGGATGAGAATATATTTTACACTTGCTACTATACTTTTTTTTTCTTTTGTTATTCAAATTTCTCTCTTTTCTTTTTCTCCCACAGCACAAGGAGCCCAGAGAGGTTCACATGTTTGTCGATTTATTACTTCAAGAGGTTAGTGCTATTGCCTATTGTTATCATATCATGTTATGATGCTTTTTCTTTTTTTTTTTTTCTTTTTGTTATAAATAATCATTATGCTTTTATGCTTTTGAATAATTGAATGGATGATTTAAATGCCTGAAAACTGTTGATTAGCTCGTTTGCGGTATAAATGTTCGCAAAAGCATGTAGGAGTGCAACTCTTAATGCTACATTTACCTCTTTCCCATATCAGATGGAGGCAATAGGAAGTGAAGTAAAACAGGTTTTACCTGAAGGGAATCGTAAGCATCGTCGGACTGACAGCAATGGAAGCACCACCACCACCTCGTCACGGAGCAATCCGATCCGAGAGGAAAAGTTGAATAGATCAAACACACAAAGGGCTAGGAGCCAGTTATTGGAAACCCATCTAGCAAAGTTATTTAAGCAAAAGATAGAGATTTTCACTAGAGTAGAGTTTACCCAGGTACCATGAGAATTCTTCTCTGGCAACTGGCAAGTCCTGATTCGAAAATCCAGACAGCTTAGACTTTTACTTGTAATTGCAGGGATCTGTTGTAACTACTGCAGTGAAACTTTTCCTTAAAACTTTGCAAGAATTCGTCCGGCTCCAGACTTTTAACCGAAGTGGGTTCCAGCAAATTCAGTTAGATATGCAGTTCTTGAGGACTCCTCTAAAGGAATTTGCAGATGATGAAGCAGCTATCGACTTTTTGCTCGATGAGGTAACTCAGGAATTTTGCTAGACGTTCTACTAGGAGTTCATTTTTCTATTCTCAATCATTTTCTCTGATTTGCACTTAATAACTATTTTCAGTAATTTTGGAGTTTGAGTTTTACTTCATTTTAAACTCTGCAACAAAGAAATTAACCACCCTGGACCCTATTCTCGTGCAGGTGATAGTCGCAGCATCGGAGCGTTGTCTCGACCCCGTTCCTTTGGAGCCTCCCATCTTAGACAAACTCACACAAGCTAAATTGGCAAAGGCAAGAGATCTGAATTCAATGTCTCCGTGAACATACCAAAATGGAGAAGTTAGTCGTTATAGACTGCATCGTCATCATCATCGCCTACTGGTATTTCCATAAACTTAGTAACTGATCAGATCGTGAAAATGGCAATTCATAATCATTATCGATTTTTCGGCCACTGATTCATTCTTTAGGTAGGAAATGGTTTCTGCAGGTGAATACACAATTAGAAAATGGTCTCTTCCCATGGCCATGCTTCCACTGGCATTATGAGCAGATGATCCTTAGTTCACTAGCATAGTGGGAATGTTGAATCGAAATTGACGAGCTCCATTGTTTCGGCATTTCGAGGTGTTTGTTTATCGGCTTAAAATGTTGTTATCCTACTGCATTGCATCCATTTTGTTCACGATTACTCATTGGGATGAGCCTGTAAGAATTTATGCTACATATATTCTTTTACTATATGTGATCCACAAATTCCTTGCTCCCCTCCTCAGATGTCATTATACAATGGAGTTCGCTGCTTTATTTAGTATTTTCCATTGGGAAACAGGTCGATGATCTTTTCTTTTTCTTTTATTCGGCCAATAAATAAAATTTTCTTTCTTTATTTATGTGTATCGGAGTATTTCAAGGAAGAAATATTGTTTTATTTAGGGTCCGTTTGGTATGCAGTAGTGAAGTTATAATAAGTCTCCATTCTGTCGCCCAACCGAAACAATTTCATTGAAAATTTCAATCCCCATTCCTAACTAACTATTGTTACTGTAACTGATGAAAAAAGTAACATAGGAACGACTAGAATTATTTTGTAAAATTAAAAGGAAAAAGGAAAAGAGAAACACTAGAATGAATCTAAGAGACTGCAAAGGTAAAATTTATCAATACTCCTACAATTTTTTTTTTTTTTTGATTTTACAGACATTACATTGAGCATAAAAAAGTCAATTACATACGTAATCTTTTAAAACAATCAAATGAGGGGAAAAATGACCATATTAAGCTTTAATTCGACAAAATTTAAACAGAACCAAATGAGAAAAAAAAATGACAATATTGAAGAAAACTCATTCTAGCATTTTCCTCTAATATTTTGTTAATCTTGCTTTTAAAAATGTATTAACAACTTTCATACAAAATCTACAACAGAAGGTATCAATTAATTCACTTATCAAAAGTAAAAGGGTTTTAATTTATAATTCAACTTACATAGTTTAGCATTTTAAAAGTTCCATCGTGTTTGACTTAAAATACTAGTTCATAATAAAATGTTAAAGAAATATAATTACTTACAAAAATTGTTCATAAAAGTTGGAAGTTGCATATATTGCCACTGTCCACCTTTCTGTTTGTGAAGAATTTTTCACTTTGTCTTTTTTTTTAGTTTAGAATTAATCTGTAAGATTTTATAAACATCAAGTGGCTGTAGTTTAGTGGTGAGAATTCCACGTTGTGGCCGTGGAGACCTGGGCTCGAATCCCAGCAGCCACAATCTACTTTTTTTTCTCTTCTACTTTTTAAATCCCTCCAAATATATCTCACAATTATTATTAAATAAAATTAAAAATAGTACTGCATTACACCAATCATTTGTTTTGTGTATATACTATATATAAAATAAAAGACTAATGTAAAAAAAATCCCTTTATTAAGCATCCGGTTCGGTTCGATCCTCAGACTTATGAAAAAAAATCGATGAACCGTTTTATAAATTAATAAATAAAAAAAATATATACGTTTTAGGGTTTCCAATTTTCAGTTTCATCTCTCTCACAGTCTCACCTTCATCTCACTTCACGGTCTCTCTTACGCCGCCGTTCGCCAGAAGTCTCACTCTCATCTCTCGCAGCAATGGCGGGGGGCAAGATGAAGAGGGAGAAGCCAAAGGCGGCGACGAAGAGTACACCGTATCAGGGAGGGATTTCGTTCCACAAATCCAAAGGTCAGCATATTCTTAAAAATCCTTTGTTGGTCGACTCTATAGTTCAAAAGTCTGGAATCAAGAGCACCGATGTGATCCTTGAAATTGGTCCCGGTACTGGTAATCTCACCAAGAAGCTTCTTGAATGCGGTAAGATGGTTATTGCAGTCGAGCTTGATCCTCGTATGGTGCTCGAGTTGCAGAGGCGGTTTCAGGACACTCCTTATTCTACTCGGTTGAAGGTGGGTTTTCGTATTTGTTTGCATTTTTAGAGTAAGTTTGAATGATCTCTGTGCTTGATTGTGGATAGAAGTTGAATTTTCTTATGCCCATTAATTCTTCTTTTTTTTTTTCCTTATCTCTACATCCTTTTACAATCAGTAGGGATTTGTTTGAGGATTTAGTTTAGTTGATGTATTGTCCACGGGATTGTACTTCTTCTTGAAGTTCAAATTCCTTTCAGTAGTATGAAGAAATTGTACCAACATTTAACCTTTCCCTTTTGTAGGAGGCAAAATAGTGGAAGAGGAAAAAGTATAATCTTCAAAGTTGTTTTGCTTACCTAATATTTTATGAACTTCAGACTAAAATACCTTCCATAATCTGTCAACTTTCTGAAACAAACCGTGGATTGGCTTTATCTCATCAAATTATCTTAACAACTGCTGGAATGAACCAACCTATTGTTCTGTATTAGCAGATGTGTTCTTGTGCTTGTGCTTGTCTAAATTGTGGTTAAGAAATGAATTTGTGTTGGTTTTTTACTTGATTCTTAATTTGATTTTCTCTAACATGATCAATAATTGACTAGTTCTTTAATTCGATGCGCACAGGTTATCCAAGGAGATGTTCTCAAGACTGAACTTCCCTATTTTGATATATGTGTTGCAAATATTCCTTATCAAATATCATCTCCTCTCACATTCAAGTTGCTAAATCATCAACCTTCGTTTCGGTGTGCAATCATAATGTTCCAGAGGGAATTTGCAATGAGGCTAGTTGCTCAACCTGGTGACAAACTTTACTGTCGTTTAACTGTAAACACCCAACTCCTAGCTCGAGTATCCCACCTCCTCAAAGTTGGGAAGAACAATTTCCGTCCTCCACCAAAGGTGGACTCGTCTGTAGTTCGAATTGAGCCCAGGAAACCGCGTATTGAGGTGAAGCAAAAGGAGTGGGATGGATTTTTGAGAATCTGTTTCAATCGAAAGAACAAGACCCTCGGTTCAATTTTTAGGCAGAAGAGTGTTCTTACTTTGCTAGAAAAGAACTACAAGACGTTGTGTGCACTTAATCTCCCTCAGCAAGGTTCTGCCAATAACGACGACGGTGATTTTGATTATTCGAGGTTTGGCGATTCGAATGAGGATCAAACCATGGAAGTAGACGACGATGGAGCTGACGAAGAGATGGATATGGACGATAGTGATGCCGAAGTGGGGGAGGGGGAGGCTTCTGAATTTAAGAATAAGGTTTTGAGTGTTCTGAAGGAGGGAGATTTTGAAGAGAAGAGGTCATCTAAACTCACCTTACAAGAGTTCTTATACCTACTCTCTTTGTTCAACAAAGCTGGTATCCATTTTTCTTGATCTAGTTCTGTTCTCCCCCCATATTAGTATAGTCATACCCAATTTTGTATTTTTTCTGTTTTTTTTTTCCAACTGCTTCTCTATGACTGGCAATTGGTAGGCCATTTTTATATCTTCTACTTGAGTAATTAGAACTATTTATTGAAATCCGTTATCTGTATGTTTCTCATTACTCATTCTTTAATCCTTATCCACTGCCATATGAAATCCATGTTTTATGTATATACCATGATGTTTTAGTATGAAAATGCATAGTAACCAATGTGATGAAATCAAAGGATTCCAACTCCTGTGAGCGTAATTAGAACAATATAACTAGGTAGGAATGGCACGGCAAAAGACATCAATGTAAAGAAATACGTGGTACTCTAAAGAGTAATCCAATTGGCAAGTGCTTATTAGCTTAGAAGTTTCAAATTCGAATCTTCTAGTGAGCTTAATACAAAAAATCATTTATATCTCTCGAGTCTAAGTCATTTTTATATCACTTGATATATGAGTAAAAAGTAAAAAGTTACGTTTTTATTAATCTATCGGCTACAACTCCAAAAAGGAAAAGGGAAAAAAAATTCTAACGGTTACAATTCTATTTTATTGCCAAGAATATGTTCTATTTATGCCTCAACATTTTTTATTTTTTTGGGATGAAACGAATATTCGTTATCTTCTCCATAAAAGCTATAGCAATCCTAAAGCAATGAGATGAAAAGGATTTCTGATATACAATTCAAACTAAATACATCCTATTCCACAATGGGCTGATTCTTCAGAGAGGGGTAAAGCTGTCACAATAGACATTCTTTTCCCCCGATCAGGGGAAGGTAGAAGAGAGAAAGTTAGAACTCAAGATTAAGGCTCCCTTTGTAACTTTTTTATGTTTTCAGTGTTTTCATATTCAGAATTTGAAAATTTTAAAATGCAGAATTTTATTAGAAAGATAAAAACTTTGATAAAATAAATTACTTCATATTATAAATTCATTGTATGCTTGTTAAAATGGAAACATGTAAAATATAATGTATTCTAAATTATATAACATTGTAAAATAATAATCATACAAAATTCATAAAAAGAAATGTTAATAAATTAATTAATATAAATTTTAGATTAAACTAAAATTTAGTTTGTAACTACTTCTAGTTTACCAATATATTGCTTGAACAATTTTTTAAARTGAGATTCAATTACCAAATCTGCAACCAAACACATATCAATTTTCATTGAATCTCTTGTTTTCAAATTTCTGTTTTCTGATTACCAACCAAACGCGCCCTAAATAATCTAAGGTAAATAAAGGAACACAGGCCACAAACAAACAACTTAAAATTATATCCTATATGCTTAACACAGGCCACAAACCAAGCACAATTAGAGTGCTAAACAACTTAAAATTATATCCTATATTGCTTAAGCATAGAAATTTATGTTAATTTAGACTTCTTTGACTTCACTTGAGGCTTTTTGGGGATCTCGTCGTCGTCCTCGGAAACTTCTTCAGCTAGTTCGTCCGGCACATAGTTAGGAACATTATGTTTGGTTATGTACTCCTTCAAAATAGCCATGCTCTCCTCTTTCATAGAAACCAACTGCTCTGAGAGAGTGCCTTTATTAGCTGTATTGACCAAATGTGTCTCTGACCCTAGGTAAAATGAGGCTTTAACCCGAGGCCTCGGAGAAATATCGTCTTGAGCTTCAGCATCCATTGTATCTGAAAGGGTAAAACCGAGATAAAAGCAGAAGAACGATATGAATATTTTAAACCTACAGGGAATAGACTTCAAAAGATGAAAGAAATTATCATGGCTCCAGCTAGCAATCCAGTCTATGGATCATAATGATAAACACACCAATCATAATCTCAACAATCTACATTTCAAGTTATCAAATAATTCACAGCCATGACTTCCAATGATACCCAAATATATAATCAAGGGGAAGTTCTACAAGTATCTAACTTATCAGTAGAATTGCAAGCTAAGGTCGATAAGCCACTCGAAGGGAAACCTCTTCCACTTAACTTCAGCATTCATATATGTTTTGCGGTGCGATTCAAAGGAAGGAGAGATGAGAATGAGAATGAAACGAACATTAAAAAATGGGGATATAACATAACTTTTCAGCTAGAAAGTAGAACTTGAAATGACCTTTATTCTGCTCGTGGAAAAAAGAACAGTTATATGTTAATTACTTGGATGAGATAAATCAGAAAATGCCATCCCATCATTAAACTGCCTCTTAGAATTCAAATGGCCTACACCCAACCAAAGAATTTCGTTTGAATCTTAGATGCAAGACAAAAACATGCTGTAAACTACATAAAAGTCAAATGAAAATAGCATCTTCAGGCACTAATACTAGCTACATGGAAGATATCTTATTTTGAAATTACTATGTTTTCAACAGAAAAGCAATCCAAAATTGGCAATAACTCAGCATGATAATAGAATTGGACAGCAAGTGAATGGATTTGTACACCAAGAGCTGGAACAATGTTGAATAAAATTGACCGGAAAGATAAGTTTTATTCAAACTTCAGTATTCCTGGCATCTCTTATTGGAAGCACAAAGTGGCCGAAAGGCTAAGGACTTGCTACTTGGAAACTGTTTTCAATCAAAACAACTCCTCTGTTTTCATTTTTGTACACTTGAAACCACTGTTCACAAATCAACCCCAAGGGGTTGCGGGTTTTCTTCTACCAATTGGGGCCCTATGATGATATGTAGAAGAACAGCTTCAGTTGTTTTAGACAATAAGCCATCTACAGAAACCAGCCAAAGAAAATAAGACAAAGTAACAGTTACCCCAACATATTTCCATCAAATTTCCCAAAGAACAGCGGAAAAAAAATGAATCCAAAATATTTTTTTGCAGATTCCCTTCTTAGAGGCTCAAAGTAGTAGGGGTCTACTTAATAATTGAAAACCCATTGATGGATTCATACATAAATCACCAATTCGAAAAGGACTTCGTAATTTCTCTAAAAATTTGTACGTACCTGTAGAATGAATCTACTGAAGCTCCGTTGCCAGTGCCGGTGCCGGTTCCGATCGTTTTCCTCTTCAAGAAGCTTCGAAATCGAAAGAAATGAGGGTAAAAGATAAAGGGGAATTGAACAGTTGAAAGATTAAGATTATATGAGTGCTATGAACTGCAGAATTGGGAAGCGCTTCCGTTGGCGGGAGAAACAGCGAGCTTAATTCGCACTCGAATGGAGCCCTAATTGGAAAATTGACAGAAAAACAATAATAAATTACAAATTTTGTCAAATGAACCCTCTTTTTCCACTAAACAAATGAACCAATTTTAACATTGGATATATATGAATTCGGAAATTTTTATTTTCATTTGAGTTCATAAATTTTCATTATTGTGTCAATTAAAAAGTAAAAATCACCTTAAAATATTTGAGTTTTTTTAGTTCAACGAACGTGGGCCGAAATCAAATTAAGGAAAAGTACTATGTGTTCTAACCATTCGAGCTCTCGAGGATGAATTCTTCTTTGTCCTTGAATTATAATAAGACAATTTTTCTCTTCCCATATTATTTTTGAGCAACCGATTCAAAACTAAAATCACTTATATATTTATAATTGGGTATTGGGGAGAAGAAACATTTAGCATATTTCAAATATTGCAACGGTTTTCTGTTGTAAATATAGTAAAAACTTTTAAATTATATATATATATATATATATTTTCTAATTTTTTATTTTAATTTCGCCTTTGTTACTTTCAAAAATCAAGAAAGAAATAGATAGGATACCTTCACGTATATCATTAACTAGTATACCTAATCTGAAATATCATCACTAATATACTTGATATGATATTATGTATATCAATTGCATAGATGATATATCAACTTTGATAAATCTCCTCTAGGTTGAAGATTTTGGTTTAAGTAAAATGGTAGGTTTCTTATTAATATATAAAATATATATTTTATTTTAAGTATATCACTAATATAACTAATACTGTGTATATCAAACACACTAGATATATCAGTGATATACTTCATTTTAAATATTTCATTGATATAACTAATATACATAATATGAAGTATATCATTGATATAATTTATATGAGGTATATAAATGCGAGGATTTTCTTTTGAAAATAGAAAATAAAAAACAAATAATTATCTTTTTAACTAGTTAAAATATTTGTAACATTTTCAATCCCCTCCCCTTGGAGGGAAGAAAAAAGAACAAAACTCATATAGTCCAAAGCCCATTGAACCAAAAACTATTTGGGCCTGATTCATTTATTTGGGCCAAGACAATTGTATTATTTGTTTTTATTTTCTTATACTAAAAATTTTATTGGATTAATGTTTTTTTTAGTAAATTATATTACATTTTTTCCTCACCATAGCAAATTTTGTTTTGTTACTTTTTTTTTTTCTCTCACTTACTAAACTGAAAAGTTACTAATAAAAAGTCAAATGGTAATAGTTTAATAAAATTTTCAAACAAAAAAAAATTTGAACTATTAAAATGAAGCATTGATATCATTAGCTGAACTCAATTTCAAAATAGGAGATCCATATTCAATCCATATCGAATAAGTCAAAGATTGACATTTGTCCTAGAGTGAGATTGAATCTAAGTTTGGATCGAGTTTTACCCAACCATTAAAGAGTATGCATTTAATGAGGTTGATAACCAATCTTAATACACCATTAGATTTTACTTGCCCAACTAACAATGTTTTGAAAAAAAAAAAAAAGTACTTATTTTGAAGTATTTATTTCCCGCCGGCTTATTGGTTCAAATGGGCTGAGATAACTTGGATGAGAATGTGTTCAAACTCCATAATAGTCGTCTACCTTAAAAATTAATTTGGTCTGTCTACCTTAAGAATTAATTTCTATGTATTACACAAGAAAACAAAAAAAATAATATATATATATAGATTTAGTAAGTTTATATGGTACAACTTACATTTTAAAAATGAATAAAGTTTGACATGCCATTCCAAAGGTAAAGACAAAGTCTTTTCCAAATTTTGGTTAAGAAGTCAATTTTTTACTTGCTAGTAGTTTCACCCAACAATCTAAAAGCCAATTTTTTTTTGTTTTGTTTTTGTTTGTCATCCTTCTTTGCTTGATTTGAAAGTTTGAATCTCTTTGTAACAAATGTCTATGCTATAGATTGCTTTAACATAAAGCTCATTTTCACACTCATGTGATTAGTTATTAATTTTAGTTTTTATCAAAAATGACAGAGAATCCAACCAACAAAAATATCCGAATTTTTAAATTTAAATAAGTTGTAGATTTCAATCACCGCTCTTATATTTGAACCTAAAACATGAAAAATCCAATCGAAAAAGTTTCAAAATAACAAGAAAAAATAACCCACATCTCGTCCCATACTTCTAGAAAATAACAACTTAGACTCAATTTGATGAAATAAAAGTTTAAAGTTAGATTTAACTCACCCATTAAATACTGAGGTAAAAGTTCAATTTGTTTTTTTTAAAGCTTATGCACAAATGTAAGAAAAAATATATTTTTTTCAATTATTGATATAAAATTACACTGAATTAGAATAAAAGAAAAATATTGACAAAATGAATAATATATGATATATTGATTTAAAAAAAAAAAAAAGGTAACAAATATTGAGTGTCTGTATAAAGCCTAGACAATATGATGCAGCCTTCTCTCATCTTCAAAGCTTGAAATATCATCATCATCATCAGAACCCTAAATTCAAAACACACAGTAACAAAACTCTCAGTCAGCCATGGAAACACTTTAATTTTCCACCCTTTTCTCGGCTTTGAAAAAAAAAGAACTCACCTGATATCGATACCGATACCGATGTCGACGAATGCTGTTTTGAATGGCTGTGATCGTTTGAATCAATACGTACATGGGAAAAATAATTCCACTCGCTCTTAAAAGAAGCACCTGAAAACAAAAACACACAGTCGAAACGCTTAATTAGTATTACTCTCAAAAGAACATTCCCGAACACGGGGCGAATCGGATCGGGTACTCACAGTGGCTAGTGTAAATGGGTAGTCTGCAGTACCAACGGCAACCACATCATAGAAATGTCTCACCAACAATACTAATGTAAACTGCATAGAAAAATATATATATTAAAATAAAAAGTGTGAACTTTTTTATAAAGTCACAAGGGAATCTTAGTATCAAAAGGGTAAATTTGTTTTGAAAAAATTGAAAATAAAAAAATAATAATAAAGTGGCTAAGGAAAGGAATGGTAGGCTGCTAGGGCCCTAACCGTTATTTGTTGGGTTGGTGAGCTACATTCAACTTAATTAGAAAAAATAAATAATAAAATAAAATATTGAGGAAGGTTGAGAAATTTGAATTTTTTTTTTTTTAATGTCAAATAGGTCATGAACTTCTCAGACAAAATATCGATGGTTTAAGAATCAATTAAACATTTGTACCATTTTGTATCTAATAGATACAAAATCGATAGAGTTTTTAAAGTTTAAGAACCTATTAGAGATTTTTTAATGTTGATCTATTAGACACAAAATTAAAAGTTCATCTATTAAATAACAATATTAAAAAGAAAAGAAAAAGGAACTTTTTAACATGGTGGGTGGAATTAGGGAAAAGAATGAAGTTAGTGTTTGGCATAATGACTTCCAATTATGTAGTGGTAAGTTACACCCACTTAGTTTTTTTTTTTTTTTTTTTTTCTTAATTTGTTTATGATAATGCAACAATCAGGCTTTGTTCATGTAAATGGGCTTAGCACCAATTTTCAAGCCCTATTGCATTTTAATGCTTTAGGGAAATAATAAAAGCCTTCACTTTTTGACTCATCATGTGTTGAATTTTTCTCCCATAATAATTAAGGTCTGGTTTAATAATTGAATTTAAAATTTTCCTCTTTTCTTTTTTCAAAATTATAAAATATATTTTAATAATGGAATGTTCCGTCACTATAAATTTAACAAAATCTAATCTTCACCTTTAAATTTCATCTAGTTAAACATTAAATTTAAATAAGCGGTAGAATTAATATCTTCCATCAATTTTTTTCGAAAAAATTCGATATATACCTTAAAAGTTATCCTCTATGTCATATCCTCTATTAGTTAAGCTTCATATTTCTTTCTTATTCTTTTTATTTTTATTTTTATTTTTTACCTTAAGATTTGTGGCTAAATTAGAGCATTATTGTATTAAAAAATATTATTTTTGTAAGTACTATGACATTTTGGGGTCCGAGTTTTGAGGCTTTTTGTGGAGTGTACTTGGACGCCAATCTATTTCAATATATTCTATATTTGACTAGTGAACTATTACTATTAATTAGGGAAAAAAAAAGGCAACATCACAAAAGTTGAATTTTTTCCCTTTTTCATATACCAATTCAAAATATAGTGGCAGGATTTAAATGTAAACCAATTAACCAATCGAACTGTAAAATAAAATTAAACCCATATTTAAATTACAACTAAATCTAAAAAATTTAATTAATAGATTTAAGATTAATAAAAAGGGGGGCAGAAAACTTACCGTGAGAGCAACCGATTTACAACAGGAGGCACCACGGTCAGCGGTGGTGGAGCAGGCGGAGTCCGACGCGCCGCCATCCGCGGGCGGCGAAGCCGGTGGCGCCGCCTCTTCTTGCTCGGTTCTCAGGATTTGCAGACTATCCCTGCGAATAATTTTCCATCCCCATTTAATATAAATTCAATGCAATTAATTAATTATAATTCCTCAATATTCGAGAAAATTAATTATAATTCCTCAAGGTTGGAAAAAATCGCCAGCAGAGCAGATGAATTGGCTGTAAAGCATGTCTGGCTCGTGCTTCAAGAACATTTCCTCATCCCTCACTATTACAGACTGTGGAGCATATAGAATTTTTTGTGTATAAAAAAAATTATTTGAAGTAAAATGGAGAAATTAAAATTAAAAATTAAAAGAAAATACCTAATGGTGACACCTGGATCGGCGTGCTGTAGCTTCTTAGAAGGTGCCGTATAGCCTGGTTCGTAATTCTGCCCCCAAAAAGAAAAAAACATTTTTATTTCTTGATTTTGAGAAAAGAAAATAAAATAGAAGTAATAATAATAAATTCAGAACACGACGCGGACGAGTTAAAGATTTAAATAAATTCAGAACAACACTTCAAACATTTATTCATAATAATATTTATTTTTAAGTATTAAATTGAAAACCTTCTACTGTTGCAACGTTGTATTCTAATTCTTTGTTTAATTTTCATTCCATATATATTATTTGATAAATTAACAAAATAACGTATTAAAACCCAATTAATAAATACCAAAATAGGTTTTTTTTTT